TTCACAGTCCACAACTGTTTTTATCTCTCAGTAACGCAAAGAGAAGCGCCTTTGCTCAGTGTTTAATCCGCCCTTTGAGATTACGCAACTACAGTCATATTATACCTCATCTCCAGTAGAGTAGTTTAAGTATATATTACTGATAGCATAGGCTTTTTGACCCATGGAATTAAGCTTTAACTTACAATTCGGTCAAGTAACCCAGCTTTGGTGGTATGTTTTCAAAGCCCTTATTAAGATCGTCTGATCAGTAAAACTTTTCATTTGATGTTAATGCTAGAAATACCATTTGGAAGTAAAAATAGGAAGGTAAATAATATCGTTATATAAAGGTGGAAGGAAAAATAAAATTGAGGATGATCTTCTTAGAAATTATGACTATCTCTTGAGGCTCAGTTTCCGTATGCACTTCTTTGTCCTTAATCTCATCCGGTTCACGAAAAGCTCACTTGCATCTCGTCAATCATAAAGATGCCTTCCTTGAGATTCCGAATAGGGAAAAATTGTACTTCTAGTGGGAGTGATTTTCAAGATAATTTGGGACAGGTGCACTGATTGTTATGACCTAATACTTGATGAGTGAGGTGTGTGATAGACTTACCTCCACGTGGTGCATCCTGGGCAACGTATACTCATGCGCCAAAAAGGTCTATTAACCGCCAGTTGACTTCTCACCTCAAACTACCATCACCCCACTGTATGTCATATTCTACCACTTTCACAGTACTCACCTTACCTTTCTCTGCCTTTGTGTTTGTCTATTTCTTTTGCATCCTTAAATCACTTTTCTGCCCCCCCCCTCTCGACTGTTTTTCACTTTGATGTTCCTCCTCCTCTCTATGAAGCCTGAAGTCAACTGAAAGGCTAATGATAACTATCAAAACGCCTGCCATTTGGTATAATTATTTCATTATGTGACCAAATATTTCACGCCCAAGCTTTGAACTGCCTGATCCCCAACTAGACCAAGGCCATTATTGTTATGTTCATTCATTGTAAAAATAGCAGAAGCAGGTTTTTGCCGTCCAACTCAAAAGTATTTAAAAATTAACGGGTTAATGTTGGCTAAAACAATCCTTCTTTAATTTGTATCCTCTAGTGACAGGCGATCGTGTCGCCGCTGCTCAGAGCAATGGTCTCTGTTCAATCCTTCGTGTAGGTCGCAAACCCGATGGCAAATTTCTTTGGAAAGAAGAATCCGTACTGGCTGGTCACGGGGGCATTGTATCGAATGTTGACTGGTCACTGGATGGTCGTCTGATCCTCACTACCTCTGCTGATCGAACAGCTCGAATTTGGTCTGTGAGTGGTGGAATTCTTCGGCTTGTTATCTCCTCAACTCGTGGTGGCTCTGCAAACGGACTTGGAGAAACCATCTCCAAGTTGAATAGTAAAGGAAAGGTATCGTCCAGTTGTTTGTGTTTAATAAATTGAAGGATATTTTACGGAAGATTTAACGCACAGCTAGAAATATATCAACTAATTTTGTTAATCACTTCTTATTCGCTTTTAATTTTAGAGTTCTAACGTCTCATCGGATTTTGCAGATCATGTACAGTTTGGAAAGTTTCATTTAGAGGATAATTTCTTTCACCTAACTTGCCGAAATGAAATATATTTCTACAAATACAAAATTGATTTGCACGCCAATGTCCTCCAGAGGTGGGTCACTCTCAACTTCACCTATCATTTAAGCATGGGGCCGGTAAATTAGTCAAAATTCAGTGAAAAGCAGATAATTTAAAATCAATACATACAAAAGTAGTTGTCTGATGTATTAGATAGCGCTCTATTCAATTTGAACAGCCATAAGGCGAACCTGTAGTAAAAAAAGGTATAATTTCTTAACCCTTTAACGCCGAATTAATTTTTTTTTGCAAAATGCACCCAATCGCACTCACGCGGGTCTCACATCACATTGGCGTCGCATATCAGGCGAAGGCTATATAGACGTGTTGAACATGTTTCAAACGGCAATAACGCCTTTCGTCAGGAGTCTAGTGCCAATGGAGCTTATTTTGGAAGAGGATCGTATAGTCCTAAGGGTATTAAAGGGTAAATAAAGGTTGGAAAATGAACCGGCTTCTTATTCTATGCGCCTAGATGGGTCGTTGTTTGAGGAATGGAGGCGGAGACAATGGGTGATTGTAGCAATGACATGAAGCAATATATACTCTTTTGAAATCATCCTGAAACTGCATATTGCCTTTTAGGTGTCATGTAGTCGCTTCGTGCAATCGAATAGCAAAGTTTGAATTTGACAACTGTACCAGGCTGACAGCTGTTTCTTCCACAAATTTATTTTATTCCTGCAAGTTACCTGCATTTAACCAAAATAATGCTGCATTGTTAACAGTATAATTTGCTGCTATGTTTTCCTTCCAGATCTTCTTTTGGCTGCCGGATCCGATCATTCGTTGAACGTCCTGGATATCAATAAAAAAATCATTGTTCGCAACATTCCTGTGGTCCACGACGCTACTGTTACAGGAATTGCCATAAATCAGGTAATTGCCAAAAAAAAGAAATTCATTATGTTTGCCATTATTATATTATGGCAAAAATTTTACTTTTGGCGAAGAACTCGAATAAGGAAAACTTGTGGCATATGCAATCTTAACAATCTCATGTGAGTCCTCGAACACTCTGGAACATGAGGCGTGACGCTGAACACGGTAGTGACCAAGTGTGCTCAGGAGTGCGGAGACTTCTCGACCAATCAATAATCGATAGTCATTACAGAGTCAGCGTACTCTAAGCAGTATTTAATGACTAGGATCTTTGTCACCGATACACAACGTTAAGGTGGTAGCTTAACTTATTTCGGGGGCCTTTTCTCTCTCTCTCTCTCTCTCTGGTGAGGGGAAACAGCACAGTACGAATGTAATTGTACCTGACTTGAGCACTGAGTTGTTTTTATGAAGAGAGGGGGAGGGGTATTCATTTTTTGATATTGCAATTTCTAATCCTCCTCGTTTGACTCGGTGGTTCTTTAAGGACAGTATTACTAAGAGCATATTGACCTATTTATTAAATACCTTCAATTATTCGTTGTCCTCTACCCTCATGAACAATGACCATTGATTACAATGGGGATTTAACAAACCCGATCAATTCCATAAATGCTCTTCATCCATGAAGTTATCACAAGGAGTCTATTTTTTTCAAAAAAGGAAGGCCATTAAAATGCCACAACTGAAATTCTACTAGACAAAGTACAAGTCATTTTCTCAAAAATGTTGTTGACTAATTAGCTGCAAAAATGCTCATAGAATCAGCTAATTTCAGTAGATTCTGGACGCATATTCAAATTTGAATTAAATGTAATGAATTACCTATTCACAAACTCCCTAGTTGAAAGTTCGTTCAATGATTTTAGTGGAATTGCATGTCTCTTTTCTAAGGGTTCGTTATATTCGTCATTCACGGGAGGATCAGCACTTGAAGGAGATTGTTGTGGTTGCGATGGTTCCTACAGTCTTTTTGCCACTGTGGCGCCAGGTGACAGTGTCCGTTTATGGGATTTGCGGGTTGCCAGAGGCCATGTGGCAGAGTTGGCTCGTTGTCGAATCATTTCTGGAGGTGGTGTTAGCGGCGGTTCAGTGCGGGATGCTGCAATTCCACCGGTTACCCTTACCTTTTCTCCCTGTGGAAAATATGTGTGCTTTGGGGCGCTTTCTTCCCACAAAACCACATCATCACAATATCTCAGTCCCACAGTCGTCGATATTCGAAGAGTCTGCAGTCCTCTCGCCCAATTAAACTTCCCAAATAAAAGAGCAGGCCCATCCAATGCTGCAACTGTTGTAGCGTGGAATCCTCTTCTACCTGAGGTAAATAACTACGCTTTTATTCCTCCCCATTACTTCGTTCCACAGACTTCAAGCTAAATCCGCATGAACCAGCAGAAAAGTTCCTATTTGGCTATATATATATCCTTTTTTTATATTCCGAGTTTATTCACAAAAGGATTTAATAACTAATTATTATTTTAATATTATTAATGCACGAGATAGTTAATTATATATTTATCAGTGAAAGATATTAAAGATAATGGCTGTTGACTTAGAATTCATATTTCATCGATTATTATTTTACTTTTATTTCAGATAACAACTGGGTCTTTGGACGGTCGACTTTCCGTTTATGGTTGAATATTTACTGACAATTTTTTTTATTTCGCTTGAAATTTTTTTCCAAAAACACTGTATGGCGTTAGTAAACCTTAATTATAATTATTATTATATCAAATGGCAGGCGTCTTAATGGTTATCATTAGCCCTTTAGTTGACTTCAGGCTTCACAGAGAGGAAGGTACATCAAATTGAAAAAAAGTCGAGAGGGGAGGGGGGACAGAAGAGTGACAGACAAAGGTAGAAAAAAGGTGAGGTGAGTACTATGGAAGTAGTCGAATATGACATATAGTGAGGTGATGGTAGTTTGAAGTGAGAAGTCAACTGCCAGTTAATAGACTTTTTGCCGTATGTGTATACGTTGACCAGGGTGCACCACGTGGGGGTAAGTCTATCGCACACCCCGTAAACCTTAATAATAAAATATAGCAC